TTGGGGTATTTCGTGTGGATGAATCGAAGGAAGAGGAAGATGCTGGGACAGGAGGTTAAAGGAATGGATGGGGATTTGGCCCCATCGTTTATGTATTTGCTATGATGGTAAAGTGTAATGCGTATGTTTTACAGCTGTTCCGGAACATAATGAGAATCACGCGAGAACAACGTGTGCCCAAATTTGACGTATTTACTACATTTGGTAAATAAATATTGGCCCTTCTCCTCAACGTACACCTGTATAACTCGCTCATGTTAGGCCTCTGAGGTCCTTTCTTGAAATTTTACAACAAATACTATAATGATATAACATCTAATCATTGTCTCTGTTCAGATGGGAAGGGATATACCCTGTAGCTTCCGGCAACACAGCGGAGCCACCTCGGCATCTGTCATACTTCCTGTTTACTGATGAGAGGTCCCAGAGTTTGACAGCATGTATTCAGGCAATGGCAAGGTCTACAAGAGTGTCTATATGTTCTGATAATTGCCGAAGCAAGCGCATACCTAAGGGTTATCAGAGTTATCCCGAGACTCAGTCACTCATCCATTGACTAAAACAGGCCAAATTCATTATTGACCACTTTGAAATGGTCGCTGACTTCTGAAAAACAACTTGACAGAGGATGTGAACATCAAGCCAAGGTGTACGTTGAGGAGAAGGGCCAATATTTATTTACCAAATGTAGTAAATACGTCAAATTTGGGCGCACGTTGTTCTCGCGTGATTCTCATTATTTTCCGGAACAGCTGTAAACGATATTTCTCGTCAAGGTAAGCTGCTTTATCAGTCGCCTACCGCTGTAGACTGATCATAATTTTAGATGCTATGCAAATAAATATTTACATCTTGTTTCTATGCGTGCCAACCGGGGGAATCCTTACTGATGCAGAGTACTATCAAAGCCCAATGTATCATAAACTGTCACCAATAAATGTCATCTGGGTGGGGGCGAGGGCAGAAGTCGGACCCAACGAAATCCCAAATGCTTGAGGGTCCCATCACCAGCGAGAATGCCGATGTCAGATCTGAACGGGGTAGAGAGTGTATTACCCATCTTTACACAGTACCTCATCCCAGGGTACATGGTACAGAGCCAGTCGAAAAGAGGATCAGCAGCACCGTGTTTATACATCATGACCCATAAAGAAGAGTGATCGGTGGAAGGGAAAGCGTTGGTATGGTCTGGAAGGACAACATACAAGGGTTTTCCGGCACCCAAAGCAGTTTCTATGGCGCATCGCAGTATGAATGGGTTGTTCAGACCATGGAATCTGCGTCGGAATCCGTTTTGTGAATCGGGGAGGATGCCCTCATCCTCCATCCATTCACGGAAAGGTTCATCCCGAAGCAACGTGAAAACCTTCAGTAAGCAGGATTCCAATCAGCCAATTGGATTTGAGATCAGTGCAGTCCTTTCCCGGTATCAAGATTCCGATAAGGATAGCGATCATCCAGAGGCGTGGAGCAGAACGTAGATCAAGACACATGTTGAAGAACTGTAGAAGGGCATCGTCAGACAGCGACGTGAACAGTTTATAGGTAGTTGTGTCGAAACCCGGTGTACTGGATAGACGGTCATTCACACATTTCCTGACTTTGCGAACTTCCACAAGAATAAAATGTTGGGAAAAAGAACGCTTGGGAGTCCGGTCAATGGTGACAGAGGGGATGACGCTACATTCCAAGGCGGCCAGTTCAAGAGCGACTGCATCCAATTCCAGTGGAAGAACATCAGGAATGTGCGCATGCTTCTCAAACTCAGCAGCAAGGTCCTGGAGGGACACGTCGGGCTTTGTTGGCTTAGGATCTGTCAAGTCACGAATCGTGGACCAGAATAAGGGTTCGCTGTGACAGCAAGCATCAACAAAGTTGTTGTACGTCTCCCATTGGTGTTGTCTGACGATGCGTCGTCGACCATTCTTCTCGGGTGGTGCCCAGTCAGTCGGCGCCATCTGTGGTACGTCAGCCGGAACCTGAGAAGGAGCCGGTTGGGCGGGCATAATAGTGAAGACCAGAACACTGGGTTTTTCCTAGAACAAAAGGTTAAGATCCGGATGGTCGGAGTATGGCGTGGGAAGGAATATCTAAAAGAAACTTCAGTACCTTTCGTTCCAAACATGCACAACTTTTTATCTCGCGTTTTACGTTTTGACCGTTTACCACCATATTGCTGTTCTCGTCGTCGTACATGTCGCCGCCCACGCGTTACAAGCTGCTCTGGACGTGAAAATGCTCTACCAGTCGCGGATGAAGACCGCTTTACTCATGGTTCGCTATCATCGGCGAGGGACCTGTATTTATTATTGCATCAATACAATAAAAACGACATAGTTTATTTCCAGGTTCGTTTCACTTTTTCTTGTCCTCGACCTGGATTCTCATGATCATATTCTCAAGATATGATCAATTCCTCACCTAGGCTTCTTGATTGGTGGCGATAGAGGTACACTTTCTATCTGGCTAAGAGAGGGCAGGCATCACAAGACGGTTTCATTCTCTGTACCATAACACCACCACCACCACCACCATTGTTCCTGCATGATCGTATCGGACGTCTCTAGTGCTTTCTCTCTTCCCTTGGTAATTTCATCACGTGACCATGCCATTGGTCATACGCTAGGCCTAGCCTGGAACCCAGGGCGGGGGTATACCGGTAGGGTCCGAAAGATGGCCATTTTGAGACTCCTCTTGAAATTTTATAGGGAGGAAATCTCGTCGCCCTGCCATTTTACCATTAAAATCAGCGCGTTTTCTCTCGTCCTCTCTAGGGATCGACACTTTGGTATGTACTCTAGATATCTTGAAATGCATATAGCTTCAATTTGTGGCCAAATACAGAGGCCCTTGGGACCCACAAAAACTTTCGGACCCTACCAGTATACCCCCCGTCCTGGGTACCAGGTTTTATACACAGGTACGAGTTCCGCAAGTGTCTATAAAGCGGCTTGCCAGGCTACGCTAGGCCGCGCTGAGTATATATACTTCGTTATTTATGTCCGCTCGTTCTAACAATCATGATCGATTCCCTTCAGGACAGCAACGATTCGAAGGGCCCTGAGAGCGGAAAGAGCCATCACAGTGTTGAACTCGATGCACCGTCGGCAAGGAGGGTATGGCTCAAGCTGGATTTATTCTTGCTACCAGTAATAGCCATGTTTTTTTTTCTTGTCATTCCTGGTACGTCCGCTATTATCTTATCCGATTCCTTAAATCACTGAAGTCCCTCATAGGACAGAACGAACATCGGCAATGCGCGCGTTGCTGGCCTTCAAAGCGACCTCCAAATGACAAACAAGCAGTATAGCATTGCGTTGACCGTCACTTACGTTCCGTATATCGCTTCTGAGCTACCCTCAAATCTGTTACTTCGAGTAGGTCAATACACATCTTTCCAATATCTTTGAGCTTATTGGCAACCATTCAGGTCATTGGTCCAAACTATCTCCTCCCGACCTTATTGACCATCTGGGGCGTGGTCACCACCCTTCAAGGAGTGGTGACGAGCTATAGTGGCCTCCTTGCCTGTCGGTTCTTCATCGGGCTGTTCGAAGGCGGCGTCTTCCCAGGATTGGTGCTGTACCTCACGCATTTCTACCCACGTGCCAAAATGACCACCCGCGTATCGGCATTTTTCGCATCCGCCTCACTCTCAGGAGCATTTTCGGGAATCCTTGCGTATGGTATTATACGCATGGATGGCGTAGGAGGGCGCGCAGGGTGGCGATGGATATTCATCCTCGAAGGCGCATTCACAGTCGCTTGTGGAGTAATGAGCTATTTCCTTACGCCTCGAGATGCTATGGCAGCGAGATTTTTGCGTCCAGCTGAACGCGAATATGTCGCTAGTCAGGTTGTTGAGTCTGGAGGAGAGCAGTTCGAATGGAGAGAGGTCAGGAAGGCATTCGTCGCACCACATGTTTGGATCCTTGGTGTTCAATTCTTCTTTTCGGGTGCCCTCCTCCTTGGCCTGGCTTAGTACGCATTCCCTTTCACGTCCTGTTTTTGCACTGTGCTAACCATATTCGTAGCTTTACACCATCGATTGTCCAGAGCCTGGGATATACTGCTGCTCGCTCCCAGCTCATGAGTGTGCCACCATTTGCTGCCGCTTTTGCGTTGTCAATGACGACCGCGTACTTATGCGACAGGTTCCATATCCGAGGTCTTGTCTGTGTTGTCACCTCTATTATCGCCCTGATAGGATTCGTTATTTTCCTTACCTCGTCGTCGGCAAATACTCGGTATGGCAGTCTCTTTCTGTCGATCCCTGGCGTGTATACCTCTGCTCCGACGTTGTCAACGTGGAACTCGATCAACTCGGCGCCACATGTTCGCCGCGCTACGGCAATTGCTGTCGGGTTCATGATGGGGTGTGCCGGGGGAATTTTGTCGACGTGGTTGCTGGGTAGTCTGAGTACTGCGCCCAAGTACGTGCTCGGGACCAGGGTAATGGTGGCATTCAGTGGTGGGATGGCTGTTGGGTCGGCATTGTGCTTGTGGTATTTTGTGTGGATGAACCAGAGGAAGAGGAAGATCCTAGGACGGGAGGTCAAAGGGATGGATGGGGATTTGGCCCCGTCGTTTATATATTTGCTATGATGGTAAGGTGTTTCCCTTCATTCATATGCAATGAACATTGATCATCGTTTGCAAGTAGTAATGTGTATACTTGAAACGAACCTTCTTGTGAAGGTAAGCTGCTTTATCAGTCGCGTACTGCTGTAGACTGATCACAATTTTAGATGCTATGCAAATAAATGTTTATATTTTGTTCTTATGCGTGTCAATCGGGGAATCCTCAATGATGCAGAGTACTATGAAGGCCCAATGTATCATAAACCACCGCCAGCGCAAAGACTCGTCCAGCTGAACCTTTCTTCCGGTCTCGGCGAGGTTAGTCGCCGTGCTTTTCGAACTAGATTTCTTGGCTCGACTGCAGGCCGAGAGGCTTTCTTCGCTCTCATGTGACGGGATAGCTGAATCAGCTGTTGTTCTGCGGAATGCCATCGCACAGGAGGATACATCCTTATTCCTGAGACTAACGCTGCCAACGAGGTCCCCGTGGTGAATATGGTGGTGGCCTTTGCTCGTCGTTCATGGGCTCGCATACGGTTAGTTCCAATATCATATATTGTTTCCCATTGTTTCTGATGAAGGTCTGAAGGTTGACTTTGGTTCAAGATGCTGAAGGTCTCAGTGCTGGTGCTTGATGCTATACCCAATGTACATGTTCAGTGTCTGATGCCGTTGATACTGGTGTGACCTTGTATTGATCTCTTCTAAGTTATTCTCTGCTACTGTGGGAGCTTGACTATTTCACAAGAACGAAGCAGCTAGGATCCTCGTTTGAATAAGCCGGTATGGCTTCGTTTTGGCTGCTCAACGCTGTCTTGACTCGACATGTAGTTTTATTTACATGCCACACCAATGAGCATCGCGGGCATACAGGTCTAGTCGTCGTCGCCGAACATGGTGATCACCTAGAGCATCTAGGTCTCCATCTCAATGGTTCTGCGGAAGTTCCTTCATGCGCACGGGCCGGTATGCCGGCAATTGCCATGAGGGAACTGGACGTCGGAACTTCCACGCTTCCCTCTAAAACGCTGGGTCCTGCCTCATTTCTCAGCCAGGTCCTCGGTGTCTAGTGCGCTGCCTTTTATAGATACCCAGACCGTTCGATATGGGACATCCTATCTGATCTACTAAACTCTTCTATTCAGGTGAGGATGAAAGAGCGGTAGCTGGAACATGAGTCTGCTACACGAAGTGATGTTCTCTCTGGAATCAAATGCTTTGTGTAAGAATATATCAAAAAGCATCGTGATGGCTTCGGTTCCAAATACGCGCTCCACCGTTACTTGTTGACCATGAACATCATTGGGGACGTAGCCTGCTCACGCGATAGGGAATGCCCTTGAGGCAAAACTATCTTCGTCTAGCACGTTGTCCTGGCCTCGAAGACCATCGGGCTCTATTCCAGGTCATCATCAATGGAGGATAAAGGATGCCGTATTGCATGCGATGGAAGAAGGCTTTTTAAAGTTTACTTCATTTTTCTTATCGTCCAGTTTGGTTCTGATCATCGTATTCTAGGATACTGCGGCGAAGGTCGCTAACTCCGATTCGGAAGAAGACAAGCATCATAGTATGTTTTACATCTCTGGTTCATTACCCGCTCCTTCTGGATTATGGAATTTTGCATCTCATAACCTTACGATTGGTCCCTGGGTATATATATTACATTGTTCATATCCGTTATCTAACAATCATGACTGACTCTCTTCAGGACAGCCACGATTCAAACCGCAGCGATAGCGAGAAGATCCGTCACACTATTGAACTCGATCCGTCATTCAAGGCAAGTAGGGTATGGCTCAAGCTCGACCTGTTTCTACTACCGATATGGCAGTACGCGTTGCCGTGCTCGTGGAATTGATGTGCTGACGCGTCCTTCCTTTTTCGGTTCCTTGTCTTTTCCTTCTTTCTCTCATGACTGCAGGCTGCTTTCCTCTCTCTTCCTTCTTTACAGGATGATTTCTCCACCAATGCGACACTCTGGGCATTCATGCTCAAATTCTGCTAAATTGGTTGTTCCCAATGCGGACGAGGATACACGATGACGCGCTCAAGGCACAACACTGCGTGAGGGGTAGCTCTCCCCAACGACAATCGAGCCTCGCAATTGAAGGACGATAGCGGTTTGGGCCACGGTGTCGTTTACTAGTCCTGTTACATCCTTTCTTTACTTACTCTCTCAGTTTCAATCTCTTATAACAGCTATTCCAACTTTTCTGTCCTATTTCTCCAACCCATGATCTTACTGTACACACCGGACGCGAGGACAAGACTGCGACGGCCCGTAACCACCTCGGACTGCGCTGGGGATCGAGATGATGACGGATTGACGACCCGTTCATCCACGCTGAGGGCGGCAGCGTGCTCTCCCTATTCGTAGTTGCGCTAATCCCGGGTGGAGCGGTTGCTCAACATTGAGGACTAGCTATGGACTTTCCCTTTCACCAACGGACTCTTCGCTTATCTCTTTTGCTTTATTATACTATCGCACGTTGTGGCGGGGCCCTGGCGACGCATGAGCACGCGTGCGGCTATCCCCTATCCGTACTTGTCAAGTTGTACCTAGGAGATATAGACCTTTGCTTTTTGCCCACCATGTTCGACCCTTGAGTCTGAGTTCCGAGCTCTCATATCGCGCACCGTGAGCCTTCATTATCCTTCAGTTACTAACTACGTATACCTAGATATTATTCCTCTATTTTTCCTACTTCGAACCCTCGGCTAAGCGACGTCTGTCGGCCAACGACCCGCGCCAACCAGTCTACGTCAAGACCGACGTATACTACCTCACCGGTCATAGCAACAGTCCACTTGTTGTCCTACCTGGTATGTTGTCCATTTATCTTCTCGATTTCTGGAATGACTGAAGTCCGCGACAGGACAGAACGAACATCGGCAATGCGCGTATTGCTGGTCTTCAACGTGACCTCCAAATAACCGACAGGCAGTACAGCATTGCATTGACACTTACTTACATTTCGAATATTTCTGCTGAACTACCCTCCAATCTTTTACTC